CTGGAGGGCAGGAGGGGCGCGCTGTCCCTGTCCTCTCTGAGAGGACCCCTCTGTCCCTTGAGAGTGTCCCCTTCCCCTTTCCACCTCTTCAATACGCTCCTGCCTGTCACCCTGAGTGACAGGTGTGACGTCCTGCTGGCTTGGTGGCAGGAGTCAGGGGTCTCTAATCAGCAGCGTGGCTCAGCCCTGGAGCAGGACTGTCTGCATTTTGTGGCTGTCCACTCCAAGGAGGCGACACACTCAGATGAACTCCGCGGAGGGACGTCAGGGACCGCCACCAACTCCATGTCTCTGGGTTGGCTTGGCGGGCCGCTCAGGGACAGTCATTAGTCGCGGGCTGAGCGCACGGTAATAGCTTCCAAATGTAATTTGGTTGTAAAGATGCAATCTCGGCCGGGGCTGGGCGTGGAGATTAGTCCCGAGGTTGGATTATTTACGGCTCCCGGTAATGAGAACGGAGGAAGGATCCTCGGGATGGGTCCCCGCGTGGGCGCCTTGGAGTCACTGGGAACCACGGCCCGAGAAGGAAGCCGACATCTTCCTGGCCAGGAGGGAGGGAGGGAGGGAGGGGGCCGGTTTTCTTTCTGTGCACCTCGAACCCGGCGTCACCTGTCACCAAAGCCAGGCTTCCGGGTGGACTGGGAGAGCCGCTGGTCTCGCTGGGTCATTTGGTGACTCATAAACCACTGGGGGATGGGCGTAGTGTGTTGGACTTGGGCTTCTTCTCCTGACTGACCACCTGAGGTCTTCATGGTTCAGGCAAAACCAGGCTCCACGGAGGGTGGGTTCCCACCAACCCGCAAAACAGACAGCCCCCTGCATCGTGCGTGGAGGGTTGCTCTTTTATTTTAACTGGACACAGCTGATATCCTGATGCAAGAGAGCTCACAGGTCAAATGACCCACTTACGGGAGGTGTAACCTAATAAGTGGATTAATCCACTTGGATGGACTCACTGGGTGGTGACTGCAGCAGGTAGGGGGTGGCTGGAGGAGGGGGTCCCTGGGCTGTGCCTTTGGGGTCTCTGTCCTGTCCCTGGTGGACAGAGCTCTCTCTGCTCCCTGGTGTAGACTCATAG